AGATGACCGAAAGAGGGTCCACAGGTGACCTCAGCACAAGAGAGATCTCTTCTCTGCCCAGGCCCCAGGCCAAGGATCTGAATGATCCTCCCAGGTGGACCGCGCCCTGCCCTGAGCGGCCTCTGGTCTGGCCATGAGTCGGCCCAGGGGCCTGGGGAGAGGCGGGGTGCCCTGCACTTCCAACCAGGGCCTCACCTGGGCGCCAGTAACGCGGCCACAGCCTGGGAGCAGCCAGGGCAGGGGAACCTGGGTCTCCGCTGGAACACACTGGATTGTCTTTGCTATTTAAGTGAGAATAAGAAACAATCCTGACCAGGAGTAGAGTGAGAGGAGAAGAATCGAAGGAGGCTTTTCGATCTTGCTTCACGTATGCCAAACATCACATATGTGCTTCCTTTCTGAGAAGTCTGTTCCACGTAAAGTGCCTGAGTCCTAGCTGTGTGGCCCAGGGCGAGTGCTCAGCCGTGGTAATCCATAGCACCTGGTGAGGCGGAGACGGGAGGATCGTTTGAGGCTCAGGAGTTCATGAGACCAGCCTGCAGCAAGAGCTGGAAGACCCCGCCCTCTATAACTATAGAAAATTCTATTTTTATGGTAGAGACGGGGTCTCGCTCAGGCTGGTTTTGAACTCCTGACCTTGAGCAATCTGCCCGCCTCGGCCTCCCAGAGTGCCAGGATTACAGGCGTGAGCCACCTCGCCCGGCTGGATTGTTCTTTTTTATTTTTTGAGACAGTCTCTGCTCTCTTGCCTGGGCTAGAGTGCCGTGGCGTCAGCCTAGCTCCCAGCAACCTCAAACTCCTGGCTCAAGTGATCCTCCTGCCTCAGCCTCCCAAGTAGCTGGGACTACAGGCAGGCGCCACCATGCCTGGCTAATTTTTTTTCCATATATATTAGTTGACCAATTCATTTCTTTCTATAGTTAGTAGAGACAGGGTCTCGCTCTTGCTCAGGCTGGTCTCGAACTCCTGAGCTCAAACGATCCTCCCGTCTCTGCCTCCCAGAGTGCTAGGATTACAGGCGTGAGCACCTCGCCTGGCTTAGGACTCAGCACTTTAGTGGGGAACAGACTTCTCGAAAGGAAACACATGGTGTGTGTTTGGTATACGTGAAGCAAGACTGAAAAGCCTCCTTCGGATTCTTCTCCTCTCACTCTACTCCTGGTCAGGACTGTTCTTTTCTCACTTGAAATAGCAAAACAATCCAGTGTGTTCCAGCGGAGGACCCAGGTTCCCGCCTGCCTGGGCCTGGCTCTCCAGGCTGTGGCCCGTCTCACTGGGCCCAGGTGGGCCCTGGGTGGAGTGCAGGGCACCCCACCTCTCCCCAGGCCCCTGGCCCGACTCAAGGCCCAGGACCAGAGGCCGCTCAGGGCAGGCGCGTCACACTGGGAGGCTCATCAGGATCCGGGTGCCTGGGCCTGGGCAGAGAAGAGACTTCTCTCCTCTGTGCTGAGTCACCTGTGACCCTCTCGGTCCCACACTGACCCGTGGCACATGCCCGGGAGGCGCTGTGCACGGTGGCTGGGCAGCTCCCAGGCCGCCCGGAGAACGGCAGCGCCCGGAGGGCACAGGCGCCTGCCAGCCCTGGAAAGGCTCACCAGGAAGCGGGCGGGACACAGCGTGCCGGTCTGTTCCAGGGACTCGGAGCCCCGAGGCCAGGACAGGGCCATGGCACGGGGTCAGCCACGGCGAGGCAGAGGCAGGAACACGTCCTCTTTGCCAGGCCTGTGGCACCCGTTTCTGTCACAGTCGTCCCTCCGTGTGGGGACTGCGCTCGAGTGCGGCAGTCACGTGTTGTGGATGGCACAGCGCCAGCAGGGTCTCTGCCTCGGGCCCAGGGCCCTGGGGGACCCGGGTGGCTCCACTGCCCCCTTCTCGATAGCCTCCCCCTGCCTTGGTGCTTTGCCTTTGCGTTTACCCCTTGCCTTCTGCGGGAGGCCGGGGAGCCACAGCCCACTGCAGGGTGGCTGCAGGCGCTGGCAGGCGGAGAAAGGGGAGAGCCAGAGGCGAGGAGCAGGCGGGGCGCCAGCACCTGGGGGCGCCACTGAGGGCGGGCGGTGGTGGGTGCGGGGTCAGGGGACACACAGGGCTCCGGGCTCACGGAGCAGGAGGTGGGGAAGCCACGGCAAGAGGGCCCCTGCGGGCAGGCCTTGGCTCAGGACATTCATGGTAAACGGGGCTTATTTATCCTGTTTGTGCAAAGGAAGAAACCCACCAGAGCTAAGGGGGCAGTGAGCCCTCCTGTCCTCTTAGAAGGACGTCACCCCGTGACGCGGACGGCGGTGCCGGTCCTGGGAGCCAGTGGGGAGGCCCCGTGGGCCGGGCAGTGGCTCCCCGCCTTCCAGACCCGCACCCCCCTCCCCTACTCCCGCAAGAGCTCTGGCTGGGGCTGGCCTTGGGCCATCGCGTGTGTGTCTGTCCACAGGGCGTCCAGGACGGAGCGGCCGCGCAGGCTGAGGGCCAGGGGCAGGTCCCCGTGCCCCCGAGGCCGGGGCCACAGCCCCCGCGGACCCCGTCTGTGCCCCAGCTCCAGAGGAAGCTGAGGGAGGCGGCCAGAAGAATCCTCAGCCTCCACCTGGAGAAGGAGCAGCTCATCGAGATGGGGAACAGACTCCGCGCGGACCGCGGCCACGCGGAAGGTGAGCCCTCGAGCGCGGGAGCGTTGGCTCGGGGTGGGGGCCGGGTGCTGGGGCGCGCCCCCTGGTCCAGGGGAGGAGGCCCAGATCCATCCACTGGCACCTCTGAGGGCCGGGGTGGGGGCCGGGTGCTGGGGGCGCGCCCGCGGTCCAGGGGGAGGAGGCCCAGATCCATCCACTGGCACCTCTGAGGTCCCGGAGTGGGGGCCGGGTGCTGGGTGCACCCCACAGTCCAGGGGAGGAGGCCCAGATCCATCCACTGGCGCGCCTCTGAGGGCCCAGGGTGGGGGCCGGGGTGCTGGAGTGCACCCCACAGTCCAGGGGAGGAGGCCCAGATCCATCCACTGGCGCCTCTGAGGGCCGGTGGGGGCCCGGGTGCTGGGTCACACCCCATGGTCCAGAGGGAGGCCCAGGATCCATCCACGGCACCTCTGAGGGCTGGGGTGGGGGGCCGGTGCGTGGGGGTAACACCCCCATGGCCAGGGAGGAGGCCCCATATCCGATCCACTGCCACCTCCTGATTGGCCGGGGTGGGGGCGGGTGCTGGGGGGTGCACCCCACGGTCCAGGGGAGGGTGCCCAGATCCATCCGCTGGCGCCTCTGAGGGCCGGGGTGGGGGCCGGGTGCTGGGCTGCACCCCATGGTCCAGGGGAGGAGGCCCAGATCCATCCACTGGCGCCTCTGAGGGCCCGGGCTGGGCGGAGGTCGCAGGGGCACCCCAGTGGCAGGCGACCTGCAAGCCCGCTGCTCTGGCAGCGTCGTGAGAGAAACTCCTGGCGTGGCGCAGCGGCTGATGTCTGTGGGGCTCTGTGGGGACCAGCAGAGGCTGCCGCGTCCCCGGCGGGGCTTCTGCAGAGAAAGCAGCGACTGTCCCCACCAAGACCGAGGCCGGGCCGTGACGTGCACACGCGTGGGCCGGCTGGAGTCTGAGGCACACCTGTTCCCAGTGCGCACGGCAGGCCGCGCTCAGAAATGCCCAGCGCCTCCACGGGGTGGGACTCCAGCCTGAAGATCCGCGGGAGGTCCACTGAAGTTGCCAGGGCAAGCGCACGTGGCCTTTCGTGGGGGGGTGGCTGTCACGCACTCCTGGGTGGGCGCCGTCTGGGGACGTCAGTCAGGCGTGGCTCTCAGACTCATCGTATCGAGTCCCCATCCATTTCCCCGCAGCGCCCAAGCACGTGCCGTCTCTCTCCAGCCTCCCCCGCCTCACCGACCTCGGCCGCGTCTCCTCCAGCCAGACCCCGACCGCCCAGCTCCGAGTGGCCATGGTGGCCCCTGGAGTGCGGCCGTAGTGGCCCCTGGAGAGTGGGCGCTGGGTTCCGCCCCGTGTCGAGTGGCGTGTAGGCGCAGCGAGGGGAGGCTGGGCCGGGGGACCACGCCATGGACCTCACCCGTGACTTAGCCCGGGTCCTCCTCAGACCACTGTTCACTTGAGCCGCTCGGGAGAGGGCTCCCGTGGAGGCTTGTCATGGAGGCTTTGTCCTACTAAGAACCCGGCCCTGGAAAGAGGAGTAGCAAAAGTTCTTGGTGGTTGGTATTTCTAGAAGGTGTCGTTAGCGGTACACCGGTGGGATGTGGACCGTCACTCACCCTGCCTGCCTTGTGAGGGACCTGTGAACGCAGGGCCATCCTGGGGCTCCCCGGTCACAGATTGGCATCTCTCAGGACCAGCGCTGATGGAGGCGCTCTTGCCTGCCCCCTCTCTGGCCGTCTTTCTGCCAGGCTGACAAGGGCCTGGTCAAGTCTGTGCTGGGCTCACGCCCACCTGCCTTGTCCCTGTCACTTCATGGTTGGCAACTGCAGTGGGACTGGAGCACTGTGTTCTGTCTTCCCACTCTTAATCCCATCCTATTCTGTCATCTTCTAGATGGGCAACACTCTCCCCTGTCTGAGCCTTGCCGCCCTTTGACCTTGACCTCCATGCCTGGTTCTGCCAATACCACCATGGACTCTGTAGCCGTGCCTCCCCCTCTGACCCTTCATTCCAGGGAATTTGTCTTTCTCCCTCATTGTAGCTTTTTTAGCTGGACTAGCCTATAGCCAAGTGTTTTAGTGAGTCATCCATCCATGCACCCATCCATCCAACCTCTCACCCATCCATCCACTCACCCATCTATCCACTTACCTCTCCATCCATCCACCCATCTACCCAGCCATCTACCCAAACTTCCATCCATCTACCCATCCATTCATCCATCCACTGATCCTTCCATCCACCTCACCTGGCCATCCATCCACCCATCCATCCACTCATCCTTCGATCCATCCACCCATTCACCCAGCTACTCATATCCATCCACTGATCCTTCCATCCACTTACCTGCCCACCCAGCCATCTACTCAAACTTCCATCCACCTACCTGCCCACCCAGCCATCTACTCAAACTTCCATCCACCTATCTACCCATCCATCCACCCATCCATCTACCCACCCATCCACCCACCCATCCACCCATCCACCCATCCTTCCATCTACTCATCCTTCCATTCACCTACCTGCCCTTCGATCTACCCATCTACTCAGCCATCCACCCACCTGCTCATTCATCTACTCATCCTTCCATTCAGCAGAGAAGCCCCTGCTGGTACCAGATGCCTCCTGCCTTCCTTAATGCCTGCCCCTCCATGCCTAGATCTGGCTGAACCCTTCGTCTCCTCTCACCAGGCCTCTCCCTGGCTGCCTCACAACCTCAGAGGAAGCCACGAATCCCTACTGACTAAGTTAGCAGCCCTCTCTGAAGGTGAGAGAAACCTTAGCAATAAAACTCTCCATATCTGGTACCTTTGTTAATGGCAGACTTCAATTCATCTTTTTATTTTCTTCTGTAGTGACATGTCTGTATGGCTTTTCTGCCTTTTCTTGCCCAATTTTGGCCATTTACATTTGGCTGGAAAGAGTCTGTCGTCTTAGCCTTTTTTTTTTTTTTTTTTTTTTGACAGAGTCTCACTCTCTTGCTGGCTAGAGTGCCGTGGGTCAGACCTAGCTCACAGCAACCTCAGCTCCTGGCTCACGCATTCTCCTGTCAGCCTCCCGAGCGGTAGCTGGACTACAGGCAAGCCACCATGCCCGGCTAATTTTTCTACTATTTTTAGTTTTCCAGATAATTCTTTCTATTTTTAGGTAGAGACGAGGTCCTCGCTCTCCGCTCAGGCTGGTCCTCAAACTCCTGACCTTGAGCGATCCTCCCACCTCAGCCTCCCAGAGTGCTAGGATTACAGGCGTGAGACACCGCGCCCGGCCTGTCGTCTTAGCCTTGCGAGCACCACAGAGCGCATGGGGCCCCATCACTCCTGTCTCCTCCCGCGTCCGTGGCTGTCTTTCCTTCATTTTATGAGACTTCTGCTGTTTCACGTTTGGATGTTTACGTCATCTAGAGTCTACTTCTGTGCGTGTTGTGGGGTTCAACTCCCTGTCCTTCCCCACTGCAGTGTATACGTCGACTCAGTTCATCTTCAGGGGAAAAGCTCCCCTCCATCAGACTGAAAACCTAAAACCACCAAGGCAGGGAAAAGCGAACGATCCACAGATTAGATGTCATCACATTTTAAAACATCTCTAAGGGAAAGGCCTCCAAGAAAAAAGATAACAGACTAGGTAAATGTTTGCAACAAACCTGGCAGATAAAAAGAGTCAGTACCCGTGATGGGCGAGGAGAGAGCTCACGGGCGCAGGGCCCGAGGCAGGTCCAGCGCGAACCCGCACAACCGATGAGGTTGGCCTCTAGGAAATGCATGTCTGGTTTAGAAGTGTCACGTTTGGCGTTGAGGGTACAGGAGACACACCGCGCTGTGTCGGTAGGAGTCCCCGTCGGAAAAGCCTTTTGGGGCCCGGCACAATGGGGGGCTCGCGCCTGTAATCCTAGCACTCTGGGAGACCAAGGCGGGCAGATCGCTCAACGTCAGGAGTTTGAAACCAGCCTGAGCAAGAGCAAGACCCCGTCTCTACTAAAAATAGAAAGAAATTAGCCAGTCAACTAAAAATATATAGAAAAAATTATCCTGGCGTGGTGGCGCATGCCTGTAGTCCCAGCTACTCGGGAGGCTGAGGCAGAAGGATCGCGTGAGCCCAGGAGTCTGAGGTTGCTGTGAGCTAGGCTGACGCCACGGCACTCTAGCCCGGGCAACAGAGTGAGACTCTGTCTGAAAAAAAAACAAAATAGCCTTTTTGGAGCACAATTTTACTGCATCTGTCCAATTTTTAAATGTTTGGACCTTTTGAGTCAGTGTTTTTTCTCCTAGAAATCTATTTTAAATATATTCTGATGGATATAAAAAAGATAAATGAGAAGGATACTCTTAGCAAAATTTTTGCAATAGCAAGAAAATAATTGCGAATGGTGTGATAGAAATGGTCTGGGCTCAGGGCGTCGGCATCCAGCGCTGGCAGCACTGCCCGGCAGAGACCCCGCCCACCCTCTCGGGTGCCGTGGGCCACTGCGTCTCTGGAGTGCCGTAAATGCCGTGGCAGCTGCACAGAAGCTCCTGGGGCTGTCTCTCACTGTGGGCCGGGTGCGGTCTGTGGACCAGTGTGGCCTACTGACCACACTCCCACGTGACACTGGCCTGGTCGTGTCATCACGTGGAAGTGCAGCCTGCCCCAGAGCATGTTTAGATCACATGAAAGGGCGTGTGCAGGTGCACACGTGTGCATGTGCAAGACTGCATGCGTGTGCATGCACACACCCACGGGGAGGTCTGGCCGGAAGCTTGTTGATTTCTTGGCAGTTGGGGAGTAGAGTGAGAGAAGAATGAAGGAGGCTTTTCGGTCTTGCTTCACGTATACCAAACACACACCATGTGTTTCCTTTCGGGAAGTCTGTTCCCCACTAAAGTGCTGCGTCCTCAGCCAGGTGTGGTGGCACCTGTCACCCCATCTACTGGGGAGGCTGATCACAGCTCACTGCAGCCTCCAACTCCTGGGCTCAAGCCATCCTCCTACCTTGGCCTCCAGAGTAGCTGGGCTATAAGCACTGCCACACCCAGCTAATTTTTTCTATTTTTAGTTGCCTGGTAATTTTTTTTCTATTTTCTAGTAGAGACGGGGTCTTGCTCTTGCCCAAGCTGGTCTTGAGCTCCTGACCTCAAGCGATCCTCCCACCTCAGCCTCCAGAGTAGCTGGGTTTACAGGCATGAACCACCGCACCTGGCCCTCTTTGGTTATTTCTTAAACTAAATGTGCTGGACTTTTGATTTTATTGTATTTGACAACCTTATTAATATTCTTTCTAAATTTATTTATACTCTTCTGTTTGAACTGCAAAGAACTATGATTTGTGTTGAAATCTCTACTGTTCTTGTGTGTGTGTGTGTTTCTCCTTTAGTCTTCACCATGGGGCTTTATATGTCACTTAGAAATGTTGGTGATGGTCATAGTTCATCCTGGTTCATTATTCAGTGTCCTTCCTGGTGCTTAACAACATTCAATAATATTTCTTTAATCATGTATTAAAAGATAATTTTCAGAAAGAAGTAAAATATAGCTCTCAAATAGGTATGAAAAATGAGCATGTGTTTGGGCTTTTTTTTTTTTTTTTTTTGAGACGGAGTCTCACTCTCTTGCCCGGGCTAGAGAGCCATGGTGTCAGCCCAGCTCACAGCAACCTCAAACTCCTGGGCGGCTGGCGATCCTCCTGCCTCAGCCTCCCGAGTAGCTGGGACTACAGGCATGCGCCACTGTGCCCGGATAATGTATTATTTTTATTTTATTTTCTTCATTTCAGAGTATTACGGGGGTACAAACGTTTTGGTTACATAAATAATAGCGTTTGCACCACTAGAGTCGGAGCCACATGCGTGCCCATCCCCCAGACGGCGCACAGCTCACCGCGCCCCTCCTCCCCGCCGCCGGCACCCTGTGAACGCTGCTTCCCACGTGTGCCTGTCAGTGCCAACCTGGGCTGTATTCTGTTCATTAGGCAGTGAGGAGGCCAGACGGATGTCGTAACTAGCTCAAAGCAAAAGCAGAGAAAGCACAGATGTATATGGAGTACAGGAATGACTGTGAGTTGCAAACGAAGGCGGAGCTGGTTCTTCCAGAGGGGAGAGGACAGGACACATCTGCCCGTCTGTCGCTTGTGGGGCTGAGAAGCGGCTCTGAGATGGGGAGCGGCGGGGCCCTGCTAGCCAGGGGGTGTCCAGGGGGCAAAGCGTTCGTGCTGGAGCACGGTGTTTTCCGCACAGTCCCCTGCTCTCGAGGGAAAACGAATTAGACTTGATTATCTCCACAGGTCGGCCTTCTCAAGTTTGTTCTGCTAAAAGTTTTCATAAGGAATTTCAGATTGGACTTTTAAAAGCCTCTTAAGGCCTGGCGCGGTGGCTCACGCCTATAATCCTAGCACTCTGGGAGGCCGAGGCAGGAGGATCATTTGTACTCAGGAGTTCCAGACCAGCCAGAGCAAGAGTGAGACCCCATCTCTACTAAAATTAGAAAGCAGTTAACTGACCTAAAAATATATAGGAAAAAGTAGCCGGGCATGGTGGCGCATGCCTGTAGGCCCAGCTACTCGGGAGGCTGAGACAGGAGGATCGCTTGAGCCCAGGAGTTTGAGGTTGCTGTGAGCGAGGCTGACGCCACGGCACTCTAGCCTGGGCAACAGAGTGAGACTCTGTCTCAAAAGAAAAAGAGCATCTTAAAAATAATAAATAAATGCCTCTGAGGCTAGGAAACCAAGTCAGGAACCTACCGGATTGTAAATATGAGCAAATTCCTTTCTTCTCAAGCTTCCCAAAATATCTGAGGGCCCCAGACCTGTCAGGAAGTGACCCCCCCCAACCCGCCTGTGCCACGCAGTTTCCCGGGGGTGACTGCAGGAGCGTGAGCTCCGTACAGGCCGCTGCAGGGTCAGCCGCCCGTCAGCCCGGTAGGAAAGCCCCGGGCGGAGTCAGGGCCCGCTGCAAACTCCTGGCCTCGAGGACCGTGCTCAGGTCTCACTAAAGCAGCGAGGTGACGGGCACGCACACGTGTGAAGCAGTGCCCGGGTTCACGCCTGACGCTCCACACGCTGCTGTCTAATCACGTCGGGCGAGGCAGCAGCGTCAGGACTCGGGAAGGGAGGTCTCCTGGCAGTGCCCTCCCAGCCCAGCCTCCCAGCCCAGCCTCCCAGCCCAGCCTCCCAGCGCGCTGGGATCACAGGTGTGAGCCGCTGGCCCGGATTTCGTCTTCCGTGGGTCCTTTTGTTGTCCGGGAAAACCGGCACTTCTGGCCCCATCTCGGGAGGTCCGTGGGGCAGAGCTAACTTCGCGATCCCGCAGCAGTAACCTCAGAGGGACCGACGAGCAGGCTCTTCAGTGTGCTCCTTTCCAGTGCGCTAGCTCTGCGCTGTGGCGCCGTCCCAGCCACTGCCGTTTACCCGAGGCGTGACTGGTGCCAAATGAAACTTCTCTCAATTTCCAATATGCTAAATAGCAATAGTTATAAACCCACACCCACACACAAAACACTAATTAGGATCCGCAGTAAATTTAGCCAAATTGATTTGTTATTCCAGGAAACGTTATTCAAACAGTAATTATGTCTTCCTTATTATTTTTTTCTATTATTAAAATTTCTTTATTTTTATTTTAATTTACTATTTCTTTTTTTTCTTTTCCTTTCTTTCCTTTTTTTTTGAGACAGAGTCTCGCTTTATTGCCCAGGCTTGAGTGAGTGCC